TTAGGAGTAGGAGCTGGAGGGAGAACGAGAGGAGCAGTTGCTTACAAAGATCCTCATGATGTTACCTAAAAAGTGTCCTACACTGCAATACAGTCCTCACCACAATGCTCAGAATTAGCTGCTGCTATCTTGGCTTTTCACACCTTTTCTCAACATCCTTTTAACTTACTCTCTGACTCTCATTATGTGTGCCAACTTAATTTTAATCTTCCAGGTGCTTACATCACACCCAGGATTGACCCCAATTTTATGATTTTGTTTTTCCTTTGACAGCAGCTGCTACAAGATATTTTATTTTTCATATGCGCAGTCATTTTTCCCTTCCTGGGCCTATTTTTTTAATGTTTTCTTAAACCCCGTATTTTTGCCACTAATCAACTATGGCAAATGGATGTTACCCATATTCTTTTTTTTTTGGCTTCCTGGAAATGTGTTAATTGATCTATTGATACCTATTCAGGAACAATTTGGGCCACGCCTCCCGGGAGAAACAGCTGCACATGTTGTTTCTCATCATTTTGTTTTGGCCATTACAGCCTTGGGTAAGCCCTTTTACCTGATAATGGGCCAGCCTATTTTTCAGTGGCCTTTTTACAATTTTGTACAACTTGGAATATTGTTTTTACTCATGGATTTCCCTATAATTCCATGGGTCAAGCCATCATGGAATGTGCTAATTGGTCCTTTAAGAACTGTCTTCACAAACAAATAAAAAGGACGGATCTAGAATACCCAATTTGTCATGGGTAACACAACAACAAAAACATTACACCAATTGAATATTTCCATTCAAAATTCGACCACTTATCAGAGACACTTTCAACAGAAAACAAGCCTGCCTCCGCCACTAGTATATTATTGGGCATTATCAGACAAAGCATGGTTGGGACCGGTCCCTCTGATCACTTAGGGGCGAGACTACGCTACTGTGCTTGCTCCTCCCAGAAATGGCCAAGGTGACTCTACAGATAGCACAGCGACCAATCCAATCCCGACATGCCAGTCGGCCAGTGACATGGGGAGATGTAAAGAACTTGAACACCAAAGCACAGGCAGTGTGACAACAGCAACAAGTAGAACAAATCTCCAGAGAACCTTGTGCTACCATTTTTGCGGTTAACTGCAAATTCCTTAGCCATCATTTGTTTGTGTCTGATCATTAACATCTGCCCTTTGACAACAGCAACTGTCATCCCACCGCTGCCACCAATCATTCGAGCAACAAATGAAGCAAAATCTATGGCTAACATCACACAAAATAATGTATTTTGCTTATCTGAAATGTATGACATGAACAAGTTGCTTTTTATATGTTTAATCTGTTTGTACCCCTTCTGCAGTAATTCAAAACTTCACTGGCTTGAATAGAATTTTATTTAATGGGAACTTTAACTATAAAGCTATATCTAGATGGAGAGTTACTGCTTATTATCCACCCTCTGACGCTATTGCTTGGCACACCCCGGTGGTAGCTATCCCTGCAAATATAATATGTGGCACTAACTATGTCTTTAGTGGGTGTGTCAGGATTTGCTATTCATGCCCACCTCAACATTAATGCTATTTCTTCAGCTATGTCAGCAATTAACCATTTTAGCTATGAAACATTTAGCCAAAGAAAGCGCTCGCTCACGCACATATATTATGCAAAATCGTTTAGCTTTAGATTATTTGTTAGCAAAAGAAGGAGGTGTATGTGGGAAATTTAATCTTACAAATTGTTGTATTGATAGAATGGTAAAAATTGCTCACGTTCCTGTCCAAACTTGGAACGGCTTTGATTTTCATGAAATGTTTGGTTCTTGGTTCCCCAAACTTCCTGGACTCCAAGCTATTGTAGCTTTAATTGGACTGATTGCTTTAGGCTGTATAATAATACCTTGTGTTTTACCCATCTTTGTAAAAATCATGTCAAAAAGTTTATCTTTGTTAGCGGAAAAACGTGCAACAGCTCAAGTAATGGCTTTATGGCAACGCTTTGATCCAGTAAGATATCATCTTTAACTATGGAAGCTGACCATGATGACATCAATACAGGAGACAGACTGTCCCATCCTGAGTTATCAACTGAAGGACAAAATAATACATTTAAAGCCAACCCATTTATCGAACTGACCAATGAATCAGAAGATAAAGATGACTTGGCAAACTTTAGTCTGCATAGTACCAGCAAGTATGAAATGCAACCAAAAAACTTTTGGGATTAAGCTTAAAAAACAAAAAAGGAGGAGATGTTGGAATATAGCATAAGTCACTCCATTTTGTAAACTTCAATATGCTTAATCACACAACCCTTTATGCCTACGTGTTAGGTTGCAATCTGCAACTGCATACGCGTAAGGTAGTGAAGGACAGAGAACAAAGGGACATGTCAAGAAAGCTGTTTATGCAAGTTGTAATATTGTCACTTCCTGATAAGACCTTCCAATATNAACAATGGCAACTTTTACTGTGAACTGTTAGTCGTATAAGCCATGTATTAGATAAGATACATTTTGTAAAACTTTCACTGTCTCTAACCTCCTAAACTCCCCCTGCTTGTAACCTTTTTGCAACCTCCTGCTTGTATTGGCTGAAATTTGCTTTGTTATGATTGCTAATAAAAGAGGTCCCCAGAGACTGTTCTGGGCTTGATCTCATCCCGAGGAAACCTGGTGTGGTGTCTTCATATCACAACTCATGACTCGGCCCCCGGACGAGGTCTGAAACCAAGCCGGGAGACTCAGGTCCCGGTTTCCCACAAATGCTGAGAAGGAGCTAAGAATTTGAGAAATATATAGTAACTCAGAACGCAGGAGAAAATATGTTTAACTTAGTCAATGCTTCTACACTACAGGTAGTCCTTGACTGACAACTATTCATTTAGTCACTGATTGAAGTTACAACGGCATTAAAAATAAAAGCGATTTATGACAATTTTTCACATGATCATGGTCATGTAATCAAAATTTGTACACGTGGCACTGGCATGTATTTATGACAGTTGCAGTTTCCCAGTTCTGTGATCCCCTTTTGCGACCTTTTGACAAGCAAAATCAATGGGGAAGCCAGTGCCAACTCTGTTAGTAACTTAACAACTGTAGTGATTCACTTAACACCTGTGACAAGAAAGCTCGTAAAATAGCGCTTATCTACCCAAATAGTCTAAAACAACTTAACCACTTAACAACTGCATTGCTTAGCAATGGAAATTTTGGGCTCAATTGTAGTTGTGAGTCAAGGACTACCTGTATATGACTATTCGCAGTGAAACACATATTTTGTTATGACCTGCCTTGGAGGGTAAGGAGTCCAAAAGTCCATTTGTTAAAATAATGTAGAAATGCACCTAATACTTTTATCAAGGACTGATCTATTCTTTAGAATTGTCAAATAATATTAAGCTTGGAATGCAGATTATACTGAGCCGATGCCTCTGGCCAAGTAAGGAAATTGTAAGGACCCACTTCAATCCCACATCTTAAGAAAGCAGAACTCTTGGAAATGGTTTCCTCCTTTTATTAAAAGTAGTGGCTAGGGTAGCTGGCACCCCCCCTGCTATGAACCCATCTAACTGGCCAAATGAGATTGGTTGTTTCAGCCTCCTCACTGGGATTCCCATGTTCCCTACTAGCATCAGGCTAATGAGGCAGCGGGTGCAGCCAGAGTCTATTAAGGCTTTCACTTTGACAACTTTGGTCATGGAGGGGGCTAATATAGTCACTGTCTTGAGGATGGGTGTGATGGGTCCACTTACCAGGGGTTTGCCCTCCAAGCTGTCGTCCGAGGTGTCCACTGCCCCTGCGGTGTAGGCCGGAGTTCCCTCCCCACACTTGGCAGGGGGTGGGGACTCCACAGCCTTCATCGCCCTCTTGGCTTGGCTGGGGACTTCCCTGATTTCCTGGCTGATGATCGGTCTGGGTTGCACTGAGGGGCTTTTGAATGGCATTCTACGGCACGATGCTCCTCTCTCCCACATTTGAAACAGCCCGTTGACTTCTTGGCTGTAGCCGGTGGTTTCACTGGCTCGCCATTGGCTCAGGAGGTGAGTGGCCCCATGGTTTTCCTTGGAGGTGCCTCTTCAGTAGGTCAATCTCTGCTTCCTCCACCAGGACGTACCATTCATCGAGTTGGCGTGGGTCTCCTCGAGGCAGGCAAGCATCATACAGGTCGTAGTTTAGGCCATCTTTGAAATGGTTAAGGAGGATGTCTTCTGGCCAGTTCAGCTTGTTGGCGATGGCCCGGAATTCTTGTGTATATTCGGCTATCAGGCAACTGCCCTGCCTCACCGTTTTGATTCTTTCGTGGGCCTTTCGATCAGCAAGGGTGTCCTCGAATTGCGTTCTCAGAGAGGACATGAAGCAGTTGACGTCGTTGAGCTCTGGGGTGTTGGAATCATGTAGGTTCACCATCCAGTCTGCAGCCGCCCTGTCCAGAGTGGATTGCACAATACGGATACGGGCTTTGTCGCTGGGGATGTCACATCCGTATTCTTCCATGTAGCTAAGGACTTGGGTTAGGAAGAACCCCAAGCATGGCAGCTCCCCCCTGAATTTCGTATCCAGCAGCAGGAATCTTTGGATGGATCGGTGCCTTCTCCACCAACGGTATTATCTCCCATCCTGATCGCCATTTGCGGGTCAGCGGGAAGTGGAGGCTGCCGAAACAGTCTCTGCGATGTCCCCAGGACTACAGTTTCCGATTCCCCCTCAGTAGCTCTCTGGTTGTAGCCCAAGGTGTTGGTGCAGCCCCAGGATTCAAGGTGCTCCTCCACGAGGGAGCCGAGGGTTCTTTTCATCAGGTCAATAGCTTTCTCTAGGATCCAGTTCAAGTGCTGCGTGTGACCTTCTTCCTCTTCGCTAAGGTGCAGGGATTTCTCCATCTCTTGCTTCCATCCGGGTTGGTGGCTGCACCGCCCCGATACTTTTTCCCACTTGTCTTTCTTGCCAATGCCCATCGACCACCGAGGTTTGTGGTCACGTGTTTCTATCACTTCTTCTGAGGAGTATGATGACTCGGATCCTGACAACTGGCAGGGTCCCTGCTGGAGGGAGGGCTCCCCTTTCATGGTGGGTTCTTCATTCCTTGCCCTGTCGTCCGACATTGTAGTTTTTGCAAAGTCCCCCAGTAAGGGTCTTCCTTCCAGGTTGACTATTACTGCAGATCCTGTCTAATGTAAGGACCCAATTCAATCCCATATCTTAAGAAAGCAGAACTCTTGGAGATGGTTTCCTCCAACAGGAACTTTTATTAAAAGTAGTTGATAGCAGGCATAATAGACAGGATCTGAAGGATTCCTTTACAGATCAATACTTTAAAGTGTCCCCAAGCAAACCCCACTGCACAGTTAATCCGGATGGTTCAGACCAGCCAATCCCCAGGTGTTAAGTCCATTGTGGGAAAGGGGAGATATCATTGGTCCAGCTCCGGTCATAGCATGATGTTCAAGCAGCTCTTCGCACCTTCTTTTGAGACCGGAGAAATAAGCCAGGCTCCGGAGGTTGTATTTCTTTCTCCCCCCCTTTTCCTAGCTGACAGGTTAGGGAGAAGAAAGTTCAGAGAGAGATGCAGTGTAGGAAGCAAATTGTTACATTGTAGCGGGCAGTGGACACAGAGGCAATAACAAAGCAAAAGGTTATATTGTAGCAAATAAAGGAAGCGAAAGCAATAACCCCGCAGGCATATCCCCCCTCCCCCTTGGGAGTATGGCAGAACCCAGGGAAAAGTGAGATTTGTTTTTAGAGCAGAGGAGATAGATAGAAATGAAATAGTATCCAAATATAACATTAATAGTCTGCATCAGAATAATTTACCTAATCTTGTTTGAATTGAGCTACAGTCATAGAACAAATTGATTTGTTCTATTTGGGCTGTAATGGTAAAGTGGTTTTTTGTGTTTTGTAAACTCCTTTCATATTTTCATAATAAAATGCTGCTGTAATTTTGTATAGCCTAAGTTATCTTTTCCAACAAAATCAGTAGAATTTGCCTCTGAGTAGCATATATTTTAAATAATCACACTGTTGATTTTTTTTTAATTCCCCTTGATTTATTCCTAAGGAATAAAAATTAGATCTATTCTGTTTTTAACATTACATACAATATATCGGTATTTTGCAGAAAATAATGAATAAGTGGCCATCTCTCTATCTGGGCAGGTAAAAGTAAATTCAGGAAAGTTGTCAAGTCAAAAATGTTTTGGTTCTTTCCATGTAAAGTGCTCTGTTCAGTCAGAAGATAAAAATAAATAAGAGGTAATATCTGTGACTATATAAAAACTGTTGAGGATATGAATGTCATGCCTTAGAAAGGCTGTGTCAAACAGCAGAATGTTAATGGACTCTTCCAATAGTTAATAATGTAATTTAAATTCTGTGTAATAAAGGAACAGAAAAGTGGAGTGTCAGAGTCAAAGAAAATTAGGGGAAAATAGTCAAGTTTGTAGAGAAGGCTTGCAGAAGTTTGAAACGAAGGTAGGTTAATAAAAAAAATTATACTATCTTTTTAAAGATCTATTTTCATCCAACACTTTAAAAGAAAGCAATCCAAACAGTAAAAATTCAATAATATAAAATGTGAAATCATTTAAAAATTGAACAGCAGAACAAAATCAATAGCAAAACTAGATGCTTCAATTAAACTACTAAACCAATGGGATGGAAAAGCGATCTAAAGTCTTAATTTGAAATGGAGAAGAATATCCCTAGCTTATTGTGTTACATCTATATGAGTGAAATTATATTTATTGTTTTACCAGTCATAAACAAGTTCCCAAGTGCTAGGACACGTTGATACACATGTTTCTTTTTTATAAATGTATTGAGCAGGTATCTGACAAGAATAGTTGTCCTCAAGTTGTTTAGATATTAATCTATCAAGCTTTAGTTTAGAGTCTTCAGACAAGGCACGAAGACCAGCAAGGAAAGAACAAATAATTTTTCCATGTAACACAGAACCTCTGACAACAACCAGTATCAAATACAAGTATCAAATCCCCAAATCCTTAACTTTTAAACTTATTTTGCAGCCAACACATTTGGAATAACAGTTGAGAAATGATATTTTTGATATTCTATTGAAGGTATTCAAGCTTTTATGCTAAGATGGACAACATTGGGAAATCCAAATAATTTGGTTTTAGAGTATTTGGGCAGTTGAGTGCTATATGTTAACCTTGCTTCCCCTCCATAGATAGATAACTGTAGATAAATAGGCACAACATCATCCTTTTATTCTAAATCTTACTATAAAAGCTCCAGAAAGTCACAAAAGTAATTAATCTATGGAATAAAATTTACTGGGAGACTAGCTCTTTTAATTTGTTTACTTTTTTAAAAAAAAAACTTTTTTAAACAGTACACTTTTTTCCCTTTTATTTTTAAAAGTCATACCATAACACTGGTATACTAACTGGAACCACATCAGAAATCTCTAATAGCTGTGTTTATATACTCCTTTAGCCAAAAATCCTTCCTTAGGCAACACAATATCAACAGTAGAGGCCTTCAGGTTTCTAGGTTTCTATTATCTCCAAGGACTTGAAATGGACACCTAACATTAGAACCATCATTAAAAAGGCACAACAAATAATGTTCTTCCTGCGTCAACCCAGAAAGCACAGATGGCCCAAGGATCTGCTGATACATTTCTATAGAGCAGGGTTCTTCAAACTTGGTCCTTTTATGACTTGTGGACTTCAGCTCCCAGAATTCCTCAGCCAGGCACTGACTGGCTGAGGAATTCTGGGAGCTGAAGTCCACAAGTCATAAAAAGGCCAAGTTTGAAGAACCCTGCTATAGAGGAATTATTGAGTGTGTCATTATGACAATTGAGCCCAAAATTTCTGTTGCTAAGTGAAACATTTGTTAAGTAAATGTTGCTCCATTTTATGACTTTTCTTGCCACAGTTGTTAAGTGAATCACTGCAGACATTAAGTTACTGGGTTGTTAAGTGAATCTTGCCCTCCCCGTGGACTTTGCTTGTCAGAAGGTCGCAAAAGGGGAACATTTGACCCCGGGACACTTCAACTGTCATAAATATGAGTCAATTCCCAAGCATCGGAATTTTGATCATGTGACCATGGGTATGCTACTATGGTTGCAAGAGTGAAAACTGATTATAATTCACTTTTTTTCAGTGTCATAAGTTTAAATGGTCACTAAAAAAAACTGTTGTAAGTCGAGGACTACCTGTACCTGAATAACTGGCTGTTACTGGCACAGCAACCAAACAGGACAGGTACAGACTTCAATTGATAGTTAGAATTGCAGAAAAAAAAACACTGCAACCAACCTGCCTTCCATTGAGGATCTGTACATTACACCAGGGCTTTTCAACCGGCTTTTCAATGTCAGATTCAAGAAGATGGAGGAAGACTCACATGTCTTCACCCCAAAACTCCCAGCCAGCCTGCTGGCCTTTTGAACAGCCCTGGGGTTAGATCTGGCATTCATGGACCCGGCCGGAGCGAAGGGGAAGCAGGACCAAAGCCCTTCTTTCAGCTGCAAAGAATGAAGCTAGGCGGATTCGCCTCTGGGTTGTGCCGGTTCTTCCTCGGGACTGGCTGCAGCAATGAATGAGCTGCTTCCTTGCTCACTGCTTTTCTCTGGCTGTGGCCGCGTGCAATGCACCAGAGGGAGTTCGGCAGCTGCGGCTCTTTCTCCACCCCCGTGCGCTTCTCCGCTGCCTGCGCTCTCCTCCCCCTGCGTAAGAAAAGCAGCTGTGCTGGGCTCCCAGCTACACTGAGCGCGACCGCAGCTCCTTTTCAGATGAAGCAGCCAAGGAGAAGCAGCGGGCAGGAACTGCAGCAGCCGCCGTCACGCAGCCGTCTGGCTCAGCAACAGCAGAGGTGGCAGCAGCGGTGG